CTGTATATACAGTATATATTGAAAAATATAAATAAATATGACACTTGGCAGAGACTGTCAAGAAGTTTCCTGAATCAGAGACAATATGAAAATTAAAATAGCATGCCTTGAATAAATCCATATAACCTTTAATTTTACATTTCAAAGTTTTAAATAAAGCTGTGCAATCTGTTAGTGTTCAGAGTTGAGAATGACTCTCTGCTACTACCTCACTGAATTTTAGCTAAATATCTGCAGCAGAATGAACTGTTTGTGTTAACTCCAAAAGTTAGTCATTTATAGATTCAGTTATTACTTTCTTAAAGCTTAATTAAAATCAGTCCAGTGGTTCATGTCATATTTTTTTTTGCTAACAGCAAAAGAGTTAACTTCAAGTGTTAAGGTAAAATTTTAAACAAAAAGTCACTGCTTGAAATATGTGATCAAGATGACTCTCAGCTACTACCATTCAAAATGTGACCGCAATATCTACCAAACTGACTGAGTTGTAGCCATTTCTGTGGTTGCTAAAGTTGATGAGTTCTGGCAGCCATTTAGAATTAGATTGACGTTAAAAGTTTATTGATTATAGATCTACATCGTGTAGTTATTTCTGTCAGTTTCAGTAAAATTCGTCCAGTGGATCATGAGATATTTTGCTAACAGACACAAAACCTTACAGAGAGATAAAAGGATTTTTTTTTGCTCTTCACTGTTCATAAATATTAACTTTTCTTCTTCTCCATTTCTCTGTTTGCCCTCACCATCTCTCAAGCGTCACCTCATGCAGAATTCAGAACGCTCCTTCATTCCGAATCCTGTCTTCTCTTCCGCAGTGGGACGGCATCGGCCCATTTCCAGACTTGGCCGAGCCCCCAAAAGGCATCCAGATGTTATGGCACCCCACCATCGTCAAGCCCTACCTCACGCTGCTGTCTGAGTGCTCCAATCCAGACACGCTGGAGGGAGCAGCTGGGGCTCTGCAGAACCTGGCTGCTGGCAGCTGGAAGGTAAGAGCTTAGCACTGGGCCGGGGCTTTGGGTGGGCTAGGTTATTATTATGCTAACCTAAGAGAGCATCTGCAGCAGGAAGTTGAAATTCTAATATTTGCCAAAAATTAAAAAAAAAATAGCAGTTGCAGAGAAACAAGTGGAGACAGAACAACGAACAAAACCTCCTTATGGAGTAAACTTTATTTTTGTGGGTAAAGAAATGAAAGATTAAATTCAGCTCTTTATGTTACATCAGCTGGAAGGTTTCACATAGAATGATTGTGTAATGATAGATTGGGAAATTTGATGATAATAGAGATGTTTTATCTTAGATGAGATATAAAAAAGGTCTACCACTCCTTAAACAAATGCACCAACGTTCTTGCCAAAGTTTTAGACTGAGGTTGTCTAATATTAAGAATGAGTTATATTCATTTAGTTCAAACAATTAAAACAACATATAATGTGAGACATTATCTCAGAAATTTTAACTCAGAGTTGTCATTTATGTGCTGGCTCATATAAATTTACTGTGGAGGCCATTTTGAATTGGATTGACTCCAAAAAGTAATCAATTGTATATGTTCATCCAGTGGTTATTTTCTGAAATTGTCACTAAAACTAGTCCAGTGATTCATGAGATGTTTTGCTAACAGACAAACAGTCTTGACTTTACCAGTTAGAGTGAAAGTTTTAAGCAATGAGTAGCAAATGGAGTATGTGTTGTAACTCACTACTGCCGCACCAAATCTAAGCACAAAATCTGTAAAACTAACTGAATTTTACACATTTTAGTCCTTTCTAAGGTCGGTTTTGTGTGGTGGCCATCTTGAATTGAGTTGACTCCCAAAGTTGCTTCTAAATACACAACTAATGTTAGTTACTTCCTGAAGTTTCTTTAAGATACATCCAGTGGTTTGTGAGATGATTTGCTAAAACACAAACACAAACAGAGGCACAGGTTAAAAAAAATAATAAAAAAAACAATCCTCTCCTTCATTCTGTCCAGTGGTCCGTCTACATCCGAGCTGCAGTGCGCAAAGAGAAAGGTCTGCCCATCCTGGTGGAGTTACTGAGGATAGACAACGACCGGGTGGTCTGTGCCGTGGCCACCGCCTTGAGGAACATGGCGCTGGATATTAGGAACAAGGAGCTCATTGGTGAGCGGTTCAGACACACTCATCAAAGTCAACAAATGTATGGTTCGAATAATTCAAATGTACTAATTTATTTACACAAAAATAATAAGTAATTAAATAAATAAATAAATGTCCTCATGTTCCGGATCAGACTCTGGCTCCAACATGTAAGGCTGTAAGTTTTCTGTTGACATCTTTCAATTTAATTGTAAATAAAACGTTTCTGCAAGCTAGAAAATGTAACCCCTTCTCAAACCGGAGCGGACCGGTCTGGAAGCTGGAGGGGGCGGGGCTTGAAGAGCCTTAAAGGAACTGTATCCATTCCAGCTGCTTTGAGACACAAACCAGAAAAAGAGGGGTTGATAGCGTTAAAATAGCAAGCAATTCAAACTAAAATATTGTAGTTCCACTTTATAAAGACTTCAACTGAATGATTTACATGTGAAAAGGAAGGATTTAAAAGCAGGACAGGTCTACTTCAGCAGTTTTTTTCCTTGTTTTTCGAGTAAAGTAGTGAGCCTAATTCTGTCCTAATTGAAAATTATTGCAGTGAGGAGAATGCTCAGCAGTAAACTTTAGAAGTGTTGCTTAAATATAATTTCTTTGCTTGCAGTCATTTAGCAAATTTAGTTAAAATAAAAAAAATCTGTATTTGGAGTATTTGTCTTTGCATTTATGCAGATAGTTTCTTTCAGGCAGTACTGTGGCTCTGACTGATTGCTTCATGCTGGATTCCCCCCACCCCACTCCCCCCTCAGAGACTGAGTGATGTCTGTAATAAACTCTGCTTTTTCTGCTGGTCTCCATGGAAACAGCAGCGTGCCTCTTCTATTTACTCTGTTTGGTGCTTTTGGCTTTGAGCTAAGCCGTGTGATGTCTTAGTTTGTGGAAGCAGTCATCCGTGTCCTTGGTGTATGGAGGCTGTAATGTCAAAGGTTTTAGTTTTTTTTTTATTATTATTATTATTGTGCTGCCTTGGCACATGCAGGTAAGTTTTGAAAGGACATAATGTCCTGCCCTTAGCTTTGCAGTGGTCCCAAAATGAAATAGGTTTAGCAGCGCAGCAGCATATTGTCCACAGAGCTCTCAGCAACAAATATTAGTCCTGCTGTTCTCTACAGGTCTGCTGTAAACCAGCTGTTGTTTCGCCCATCCGCTGTAACAAACTCGATTTAGAGCTCCTCTCTTACTGGTTGGAATTACATGAATACTGAAAACAGAGTACCGTAAGCTGTAAGGAGGCATTCCTTCTGTTGATGTAAGCTGTCAGCGAGTCGTGATGGGCCCCTCTGCTCCTTGCCACCCCGCACACCCCACTCCCCCCACAGGGTGATGACCCATTCGAAATGAGGGGCACGGAGGATAAGATGTCCTGACAGAATTACACTGGTGTCATGAGAAATGTAGTCAGTCTGTGTCAGATCATCACGAGACCATGTCTCTATCAGTGTCTGACAGCTGTGTCTCCACCGAGTCCCTTCCTCCTCAATAAAATTAAAATAAAAATAAATAAATCTCAATGATTGTTTTTGGTATAATTAATATTTAGCTTTCTTTTATAACTGATTCAGGTTTGTTTGAATTTGTGAATCAAATGTTTGTTTTATTGGGTGCAATGCACTCAGAGACTGTCTGAGACCATTTTTTTTCTATGGCAGATGCCTACAGTTAACATCAAAAGTATTCACACCCATGGATATTTTATGCTTTTGTTAAAGTCATAAATCAATCATGGACAATATAATATGGCAATATAAATTATAATAATAAACCTTTGAAAAGTCACTTATACTGTAAGCTACTTGTGTTTTTTTTCTGCAATTTCTATAGAAGCTCAAAAATTCAGTTCATTTATGTTTCCAGATCAATTTGGAATAGCCATCTTTTTTTTTATTAAATGTGTTTTTCTTAAATCTTCTTTTCAACTGAATGAAAATCCTAAATTTGCTACAAAGTAATTGGTAAAAACCTGTAAAATTAAGCTTATTGAGATGGCTATCCCATATATTGAAAGTCACGGGATGGCCAAGTGTATGAATATAAATTGTATTTTGGGTTTTTTTTACGCATGTATGTGTGTGACAATATGAAGGAATGTGTATGTATGTGTACATATATGTACGTGTTCATGTGGCTATGTATAATTATTCTTAAAGCAACAAAGTGGTGAGGTATAATAAGCTATGCTTCTACTCACCCCTTTTTGATTATGCCAACTAATTTATTTTATTTTATTTTGCTTGTACTGTTCTACAATATTAGATTAGATTAGATTAGATTAGATTAGATTAGATTAGATAGACCTTTATTGTCATTGTACAAAGCACAATGAAATTACAGTTCAGAACACCCATTCAGAAGACAGAACATAACAAACATAGGAGAACAGGTGCCCTATATTGAGCTTCCTTCAATTTTCATTTGCTATTAAGATGTATGTTATGTAATAAGTGAGAAGCTAGATATTATGTATTTGTTACTATCAGCAAATATTTGTATATTTTTACAGAGCCTGAAAATACACAGCGTTGCATTGACATTTTCGAAATTCACCAATGTTAGCTTTTGAATATTGCTAAATGTGAAAGCAAATCCAGTAATTTACAATAAAACTGGAGAGAGTTTTCAAAACTTTTAACTTTAACAACTTTAAAAATTTAGAATTGTTGCATATATTTGAGGACTTTAGCCTTGGGTTACGATAATTTCAGATGAACTTCAAAGTTCACCTCATGTAAGTTTCACACTGAAGCACTAATTACCAGCAGAATGTGCAGATGAATTTTTGAAACAAGAGAAACTTTAAAGGGAAATAGGCTTATATGACTTTTTGCAATTAGCAACAAATGTTCATAAAACCTTGCATTATTTTTTCTTTTCTCCTTTTTCAAACCTCCATTTCTTTGCCCTACTTTCCCACCTTTTTAACCTCCATCGTAACAGGTAAATACGCCATGAGGGACCTGGTGCACCGTCTGCCCGGAGGCAGCAACAACAACAACACCAGCAGCGGGGGAGGGGGCACCAACAGCAGCAGCCTGGTGGGGAAGACCATGTCGGACGACACCATCACGGCGATCTGCTGCGCGCTGCACGAGGTCATCACGAAGAACATGGAGAACACCAAGGCCCTGAGGGACGCCGGTGGCATCGAGAAGCTCATCGGCGTCGCCCGCAGCAAGGGAGACAAGTAAGCAGGGGAAGGTGTTCTCGGGGTAAACAACGAAGTATAGTCAGACACGCCTTGAAATAAAGTCACTTGGCAATTTTATAAACAAGCATCAACACCTGCAGACACTTCAGAAAAGCTACTAACATCTCCAAGACATTTTGATGTTGATGTAATTGATGTACTTTTGATGTAAAACACTTTAAATTTAAACAAAACAAAAAGCTGACATGGCAGTAAAACTTACCCAGCTAAGGCGTAACATCATGACACGTGTCAAACTCATGGCCTGTGGGCCAAATGTGGACCGTCACAGCATTTTACGTGGCCCGCGAAAGATTCAAAGATGTATTATCGTCTTAAAATAATGATAAACTGCATATCCCATAACGCATGTTGAATTTTTTTACCCACGAAATGACAGGATCATACCACTAGTTGGAGGTGCACAGGGTTCAAAAGTATATCCATATACAATCTCCATTTCACTGCTATTTTGATGGCTCCTTTTGCTGCAGCTCAGTTATACTGGTTGTAAATTTAAACTGGAAAGTGGAAGAGTGCAGAATTCAAGACAGCAGCTACTTACCACAACTTGTAACTCTCTTAATTTTACTTTTAATAGTATTTGTGTAATGTTTATTTCACATTTCATCAGTTGTGCATGTACTTTTAAAAGGACATGTTAAAATGCTGATTATATGCAGGAAATACCAGTTAGAGCTCAGTTATTGTTTGTTAGCAGTGCTCAGCAGTAGCAATGAGACGAAGAACGTGACGTTTCATGTTTAGTTAAAGTTAATTACAACTTGCCCTTTGAGGGCCACCATGATGCTCATGTGGCCCTTGGTGAAAATGAGTTTGACACCCCTGTACTAAGAGGGACAAAGAGACACAGGAGAGAGTTGAGAGGTGAAGGAAGAATTGGCCATGAGAACCAACAATGTACAACTGAAAATGGAGTGTGGACAGACAGACTAAATAGGCTGGGGCTAATGAGGAGATGGAGTGGAGACCAGGTGTGAGTGGGTGTGGCAGGACTGATGAGCAGAGGCTAACTTTGGAAAAGTACTGGGAGTAATAAACTGGTGACAACAGGAATAAAACCAAACACAAGAGCTACAAATCAAACAATACACAAATGAAAAAAAGAGAGTAAAACCCATCAATAAACAAAGAAACTAACCAATTATATTTGGAAAAACAAATCCTTATAGGTGTTTCCATGGTTTGTGCAATCTAAAGCTACGTAGCATCCAAAAGATGAGCAGGACTGATCCACTGAATGCTTCAACTACCGGTAGTTGTTTTTGTTATAAGTTTATTGGAAAAGGAAAACAAAGCAAAACACATACACACAAAAATGTCAAAAAGTATAGTTTTTATTGCAGTCTTTTTAAATTATCCTTGTTTCACCACAAATCTAAAAGTCCAAAAAGGAGACGATAAATACCTAACAGAGATAATAACACATCAGTTGATTTTAAAGAGGTGCTATGTTAATTTTTGCTAATTACCAAAGCGAGGCAAACAAAATCTTGAATGCGATACAAAATGACGTTTGACACCAAGTGATTCAAGATTTCTCTAAGATGATGAACGTTTTAAGGTAAAACTCAGAAATTATTATAAAGATGACAACACTGAGCTCAATACACCCTCAAAGATGACAAATAATTATACTGGGATTCACAATGGCAACAAAACAAAAAAGCCATTTCTCCCAGTTCGCCTGCTTAGTATCTTTGGTATATTACCCCATCTCAGGATCCCAAAGATTAACATTTACCGAAATGTCTCGGAGAAATAAAGTTTAATTTCCCAGGTGATGATAAGGCCATATGAGCCAATTAAACTCACATCCATTAGTCAGTCAAATCAAACCTGGAGGAAGCAGAGTCAAATATTGCCCAATTAATCAATCAGGGAAACAATTTAGCATTTTGGCCTCGGTTCAATTTACGTCCCCCCGATGGAGAAAATGAATGCTTGCTGTTTAACGCTGCTGCTTTTGTTTGATGATGCAGCGAGCTGATCGTAGCTTTGCTTTCTGATAGTTTAATGGTGTCAACCTGCAGAATCCAAACAAGCAAACGGTCGGTGAAGCTTTACGCTGTGTTTTTGTCCTTTGCTGAATACCCAGACATAGTCCTAAAGTGGTGAAAGCGGCATCTCAAGTCCTGAACAGTATGTGGCAGTACAGAGATCTGCGCAGCCTTTACAAAAAGGTACAACTCGAACCAGTCTGGGCGTGTAACACATCAAATGTCTGTCCAGCATTGTCCCCACACTCTCTTCTCCCTCATCTTCTCTCAGGACGGTTACTCTCAGTATCATTTCGTTGGCTCCTCCTCCACAATAGAGCGAGACCGACAGCGGCCCTATTCTTCCTCTCGCACGCCCTCCATTTCTCCGGTACGGACCTCCCCCAACAATCGATCAGGTGAGTCCTCCGCCTCCTCCTTCTCTCGTCAACCCAACCATCCTTCTTTCCACCCGTAGAGTCCAGTCAAACAAACGCCGCTCCGTCTAAAAGCTCCAGACGGCTTTAACCTTCACACTACAGCGACCGCCGACAAATTACTCCTCTGTCAGGTGAAATCCTTGCTCCGCACTTATTAGGAAAGTTCCCCAACCCGGCACTGTCAAACTTAGGCTTCGGAATAACACGAGTTTCAAATCCCTTAATGCTTCGGGGCTGATGAAATTGTTTACCATCTGTAGAGCCAATTTTACATCAGTTTGAAATGATTTTAACTGAGGTTTTATTGCCCCGCCGCCATCGAAAATCAATCCTCATGCCTTTATGTGTGAGCCTGTCAGCTAACAGAGTTGTAAGATGAGAGATGTAATGGCGTAGAAACAAATTTTACATATTTTTTTAAATCTTTTATTTTGTTTCTGCATTTACAAGCTGGCGCAGATGGCTCACATATAGATAAATGTCGTGTTGTGTGATACGTGAGAACAGCAGCTACCGGCACCCAACAATTAGCTGATATTTCAATAGGTCGGTGATATTATTGCAGGACATTACTGAGCATATGGATCGATGTYAACTGCATTATAACACACAGAACAGAACAAAGAGGCAGACAAAGCCACACCGACTTTCTACTTTATGTGAAAACCTGTTGAGGAGAACACATAAGTGCCAGATTTTCTCCTGTTTTAGAGAGAGAGAAAAATACTTGCAGTAGTCTCAGAAATGCTGCGCTTTTCTTTGAGCGTGAACGGCTCAAACCAGACAGCTACAACTTTCTTTGACCTTTTTATTTCTTGTGAAGAGATTTCAGAATGGTGTAAATAGCTGTTCTTCTGCCTCATATGACAAAACGTGAATCGAGTCTAAGGGAAAGAAATTTTCCCTGTGTTTGTGTGTAGCGAGCGCTCCCGCATCCCCCAGAGAGATGATGGTGCTGAAGGAGAGAAAGGCAGACTATGAGTCGACTGCCAATGCCAGTTTCCTTGGCAACAAGGGCGAGCACACATCCCGGAAGGACGCCATGGCGGGTAAGATTTCCATCTTGGGTGTCTGTCACAAAGACACGCTCTCCCAGGAGTGTTCAGACTAACACAGCCACTCTAAAAGCTTTGAAAAAAGGATTCTTGCAGAATTTTCTTTGCTACAAGGATGCAGCAAAGTTTTAAGGTTTTGGAAAACTTGTTTTTGTATCTAATMAGTAAATGAAACAGAAGCCAGAGGAGGGTTAACATCGCCTTGTTTGACGGCATCTTTGCACATCAGCGCTTTTTAAACTTACTTATTAAAACTTCATCTTTTGTTTGTTTCTATGCAATTTATCCAACAAGGTGAAGATAAAAATATTATGATTATTATTTATTTCTAACATTTTTTTAAAGTTTCTCTCTCCTTTCTTAACTGTCATTGGTTAGTGATGAACCGATGTACCAGCATTTTTACAAGTACTCGTACCAAATGTCCCTGTAAGAAACTGATCAAATTGGATGCCCAAATAATATGTAGGAACCAGTTGAGTTCTCAGTTAAATGTTTATTTTCAGATCTAAAGACTCCATCTCGTCATGCCGTCATTGTGTAATGTTTAAGTTTGAACTCTGTAAGTATTCTGTATCGATACTCAGACTGAAGTACTCATACTCGTACTTGGTTGGCATTGGGACACCACTAGTTACAGTTAAATAAAAAGGTGAAAAAGCTTAAAAAAACAGCATCCTGTCCATTCTGTGGTACAGCCGTGGACAGTAAAACACCACATACTACATCAGCTTTTGCTTTACTCCTTTGCCCACCTTGCTCTCTCTATAGGTCAAATCACTGGAGGGTCTTCAACGCTACATAGAGGAGCATATGTGTCTCCCACTGATGATCTAAAATATAATCAGGTGAGACAACTGTTTTTAAAACTGTTGTTTAAAACCATATGTGAGTGACTGTACCAGCTTTAATTTTCAGGCAGTGTTTTCCCTACATCTTCAATTAGTTGATGTAATTTAGATAAAATTCCAATTTGTAGACAAAGACCTGAACACAGTAAGTATTACAAGAAATGAGTTGTGTCAGTTACATCAGTCAGTGCTTCTAATTATAAGTATTAAATGACTTGATTTTGATCTACATGGCCAAATCTGCAGGACTATATCATGTAAAAATATTACAGTACATGAATGTGCATTAGAAAAAAAAAAGAATGAAGATGACTTGTTTGGAAACATTTGTTGGGGAAAATACACAGTGTTTGTTTAAGCAAACCACAAAACTTGATTGCAAACAAGGTCATTTTGAAAATGTTTGGCAAACGAATCAGCTGTCAAGCACAGTGGTGGAGGGCTGATGATTTGGGCAGGTGTTGCAGGAGTTAGAGCCCACTGTAGTCATTTATATGACCATAAAAGACAGACCTTAAAGTGCCTGTGACATAATTTTTGTTGTTATAAATATAAATGTATTTTTGGAAAGATAACTGATAAAATATTACAACAGAAATTTCACACCACTGAGATGAACAGTTGTTGAGATATTTGCATGTGAGATAACAGGAAGTGATTTGAATGTCTGCATGTTAAATGAGCATTGCTACAATGACTAACAACACAAACTTTAGAGAAGAATCTGATGTTTCCTTGGATTATTTTGATTTACTGTTATAGAGAGATGAAAAAGAGTCAGAGTTCAATGGGCCTCATGCAAGAACCGTTCGTACGCATAGATCTGTTCTTAAGTTGTG